ATGTTTTATCCCCTGTTGTCACCATATTTGATGTTGGTACCCTGGGTATTGTATATATGTTTATCTGGATTAGGGAAGGGAAGGGGAACAACAAAATGGAAAGTAAAGGACAAGGGGGAACCAATGCAACAGCAATACTCACCAGACAATATGTCAGAAATCATCTGTATAACTTGGGGAGGGGTTTAGGGGGAGGGAAAGAGGGAGAAAAATGAGTGAGGGGGTAACAAGTTAGACAAGAAATGTACTCACTGCCTGGGAAGTTGGCTCAGTGGCAGAGCGCTTGCCTTGCAATGCATGAGGCCCTGGGTTCGATTCCTCAGCACCACATCAGCAAAAAAAAGAAAAAAGCCGGAAGTGGCACTGTGGCTCAAGTGGTAGAGCGCTAGCCTTGAGCTGAAGAGCTGAGGGACAGCGCCCAGGCCCATGCTTCAGGCCCCACGACCGGACCAAAAAAAAAAAAAAAAGAAATGTACTCACTGCCTTACTTATGTAACTGTAACCACCCTGTGCATCACATTGACAATAAAATTAAAATAAAAAATAACATAAAAAAGTATTTGAAACAAAAAGTTCATTTTCAGAGAAAAAGTTTTATTAGAAACTTTCTTTGAGGAGTAAACATATGTTCTTTTTTCTTTTCTTTTCGTCAGTTGTGGGGCCTGAATCTGGGCACTGTCCCTGGGCTAGTGCTCTACTACCTGAGCCACAGCGCCACTTCTGGCTTTTTCTGCTTATGTGGTGCTGAGGAATCAAACCCAGGGCCTCATGCATGCAAGGCAAGCGCTCTACTGCTGAGATACCTTCCCAGCCCAACAAACGTTTTCTTTTTGTTGTTGTTGGTCATGAGGCTTGAAATCAGGTTCTGGGTGCTGTCCCTGAGCTTTTTCACTCAAGGCTAATGCTACTACTTTGAGCCACAGCATCACTTCTGATTTTCTGGTGGTTAATTGGAAATAAGAATCTCACAGACTTTCCTGCCTGGGCTGGCTTTGAACTGCAATTCTCAGATTTCCACCTCCTGAGTAGTTAGTATTACAGGTGTGAGCTATTGGTACCTGGCTTCAAACAAATGGTTTTTAAAGGAAGGCAACGATGTTGCTACAAAATGTGTGCATGTAGTCGGGCGCTGGTGGCTCACCCCTGTAATCCTAGCTACTCAGGAGGCTGAGATCTGAGGATCGAGGTTCAAAGCCAGCCCGGGCAGGAGAGACCGTGAGACTCCTATCTCCAATAAACCACCAGAAAACCGGAAGTGGCTTTGTAGCTCAAGTGGTAGAGCGCTCGCCTTGAGCTGAAGAGCTGAGGGAGAGCACCCAGGCCCAGAGTTCAAGCCCCACAACCGACCAAAAAAAAAAAAAACCAAACAAAATGTGTGTATGTGTGTTTGTGTGTGTGTTTGCGTGTGAGCACAAATGCATGTGCGTGCATGAGTGCTGGTTCTGGAGCTTAAACTCAAGGCCTGGGCATTGTCCATGAGCTTTTTATTTTTATTTTTATTTATTTATTTTTTTTGGGTACGGTCGTGGGGCCTGAATTCTGGGCCTGGGTGTTGTCCCTCAGCTCTTCAGCTCAAGGCTAGCGCTCTACCACTTGAGCCACAGCACCACTTCCAGCTTTTTTTTTCTGCTTATGTGGTGCTGAGGAATCGAACCCAGGGCCTCATGCATGCAAGGCAAGCGCTCTACTACTGAGCCACCTTCCCAGCCCCTCCATGAGCTTTTTAATTCAAAGCTAGCACTCTACCACTTGAGCCACAGCTCCACTTCTGGCTTTTCGGTGGTTAATTGGAGATAAGAATCTCACAGACTTTCCTGCCTGGGCTGTCTTTGAATCCTGGTCCTCAGATCTCAGCCTCTTGCATAGCTAGGATTATAAACATAAGCTACTGGTACTCAGGTCCTCAGGTCCTTCATTTTTATTTTTATTGTTTTGTTTTTGGTAATGCTAGAGTTTAAACTCAAGGCCTCACATGCATTCTACCACTAGAGCCACATTCTCGGCCCTTTTGCTTCAGTTATTTTTCAGAGAGGGTCATCTGTTTTTCCTGTGGCCAGCTTTGGTCATGATTCTCCTAGCCATACCTCCTATGTAGCTCAGATTATAGGCATGAACCTCCATATCTGGCTTGTTGACTGAGAGGCCAACAAATCCAACTGATCTCTGTCTCCAAATACCATTACTTGCTCTTGATTTCTTCATTTTAACAGTATCTCCCTTGCTATCTTTATTTTCATTTGTTAAATGTACAAAGCCATACCTTGAATGTTGTTTCCAGCTATGCTTGTAACAGTTTGAGACTGATGGTTAATTCTGATCAGTGAACCACTTGGTCAGAACAATTAGATGAAAGAGTATTATAGTTCTTGTCAATGGAGGAAAATAACAAATATTAGGAAAGTGGCACAGAACCTTGCAAAAGAACACTTATATTAATGTATGTAATTTTGTATCTCATGTGCATATTCATTTAATTAACTTTTAAAAAACACATTGACATTAATATGCTTCATATATATTGGTGCTGAGAATCAATACCAGGGATTGGAGGAGGCTTGGCTCACGTGGTAGAGTAACAGCCAATGAGTAAAAGCAAGCATCATATACTGAGTTTGAGTCTGGTTTGAGACCAAAAATAACAACAACAACAACAAATAAACAGGCTTTGAACATAGGTAGGTACTCTATATTTCTTTTTTGTATGTAATTTGTTTCAGTTGTACTCAGGATTGAACTCCAGGTCTTGCACATGCTAGCCCAGTGCCCTACCACTTAGCCATCCCCCTAACTCAGCTAATTTCTTTTGTTTTAGACTTGTGGGACTCTGCTGCCAGACAATGTTCATATTTCTTTCCTGAATGTTTAAAACAGAGTTATGCATGGAGCAGATATCCAATAAATATGAATTACAAATTACAATGACAGAGCTGCTTTACTAGTTTAGAATAATTCCAGGAGCTTCTTTCTTCCCTGGCTTGTTTGATCTTAAGCCTATTACTACTTGTTTATATGTCAGAACCCTCTGACATATAATATTAATTTACTACACATTTAAAAACACATTTAGAATTATTACATGATCCCTCAAGTGAGCAAAAATGCCTATTTTTTGTAATCTCAGAGAAAACAAAAGAGTATCACTAATTGAGTATAGTTGTACAATTTGTACTAACTCCTGGAGAAGGGAATGTCACATGTCACTTTAAATTGATTGAATCCTGAATTTCCACAAAAGCCAAAGTTGGTTCCTTGTGAATCAGCTTTTCTAGGGTCAAAGTTCTGGCCAGCACAAACATCAGCGTGTAAAAGACTCTGCTTGCTTTAGTGGAGAGGCAAGGCAAGGAGTAGTAGAGAAATAAACTGGCTGATGTAAGGTATTATTTCCCTAAAGAACCATCTTTCCTGGAAGCTGATCTAGAGGTGGTTTATGTAGTAGCTGAGTGGTCACAAGCTGGGGCTCTTTTGTGCTTACCTGTGGAGGTTTGTGGCCCAAAGACACACATCAATCCTAATCCCTCACCAGGATACAAGGGATTAGTTTCTCAGTTCTCCAAATCTGAAGAACAAGGATCATTATTTCCTTGACTATTCTTGTCATATTAGTTTTCTCCCATGCAGCTCCTTATATGGAGGGAGTAGTAGCTGCCCCCAGTTATTCTTGTGACCACCAATAATGAAAGAAAACATTCTTTACCAGCTTTTTGTTAAAGACAAAGGTCACAAGCAGTTAACTAGGGAGTCAGGCCCACATGTATTAACAAATACTATCCTACACATTAGGGTTGCTTAATGTGACACAGGCCAGACAATGGCCAGATGACTCCCTATGGTATCAGGTTCTTTTATCTCTCTCTCTCTCTTTCTTCCTTCCTTCCTTCATTTGCTTCCTGTGTGTGTGTGTGTGTGTGTGTGTGTGTGTGTGTGTGTGTGTGTGTGCCAGTCCTGGGACTTGAACTCAGGGGCTGGGTGCTGTCCCTGAGCTTCTTTTGTTCAAGGCTAGCTCTCTACCATATGCGTCTCACAGACTTTTTTTTTTTTTTCCGGTCGTGGGGCTTGAACTCTGGGCCTGGGCGCTGTCCTTCAGCTCTCCAGCTCAAGGCTAGCGCTCTACCACTTGAGCTACAGCGCTACTTCCGGTTTTCTGGTGGTTTATTAGAGATAGGAGTCTCAGGGTCTCTCCTGCCAGGGCTGGCTTTGAACCTCGATCCTCAGATCTCAGCCTCCTGAGTAGCTAGGATTACAGGCGTGAGCCACCAGCGCCCGGCTTCTCCTGCTTTTATTTTATTTTTTTGTTGGCTGTGGGGCTTGAACTCTGGGCCTGGGCGCTGTCCCTCAGCTCTTCAGCTCAAGGCGAGCACTCTACCACTTGAGCTACAGCGCCACTTCCGGTTTTCTGGTGGTTTATTGGAGATAGGAGTCTCCCGGTCTCTCCTGCCCGGGCTGGCTTTGAACCGCGATCCTCAGATCTCAGCCTCCTGAGTAGCTAGGATTATAGGCGTGAGCCACCAGCGCCCGGCTTCTCCTGCTTTTAAAACCCAGGAACTCACCTGGAGTCCTAGCTACTCAGGTGACTGAGATCTGAGAACTGCCGTTCAAAGTCAGCCCGGCTTTGACTGATTATCTTATCATGGGCTTTACAGGATCCCTTCTCCAGCAAAGGTCATCTGTTTGCTTATCTTTCACGTGGTGTGGGATCAGGCATTTCTGATGCAGCGCCTCATTTCCCTTAAGAGAAGTGCGGTTCCAGGCCCCAGATGCTTTCCTCTTTTATTTTTGTTGTTGTTTTTTTTTTCTGTTTAACTCGGTGCATCCCACAATAAGCTGAGCCCGCAGGTCTTCAGCCAAGGCCAGAGTTTATGGGCCACCGCCGAGGGCGGGGCCAGGGGGCGGAGCGAGGGCCAGTGACGCAAAAGGCTCTGACCAATAAGAACACCCGCGGCGCCCGCGGCTCCGCGCGCCTATAAGTAGGCAGCGCTGCCAGCCTCGCCGGCAGGCGGCTGCTTGGCGCGTCCCGGCGACTGGGCTGTCTACCCTAGAGGATTCGGGCCGTAGGTCACTGTCAACCGCGGTATCGCCAGCCAGATTCAGCCGCAGGCCTTGAAACACCCCTGGGTGTCTCGCGTAGTGCAGCTCGAGGTCCATGGAGAAGGGCCCGGTACCGCAAGAGAAGCCGCGGGGCACCAGGTGCACCAATGGGTTCCGGGAGCGGGAGCCGTCGCGGCCTGGGTCCAGCCGGCCGCCGGCCGAGAGCTCCCCGCGGATCCCCGCCACCAAGAGTCCCCAGCCCGCCGACGACTGGAAGAGGGAGCGGCCCCGCAGCGAGGAGGATAACGAGCTGAACCTCCCCGGCCTGGCGGCCGCCTACTCGTCCATCCTGCGCTCGCTGGGCGAGGACCCCCAGCGGCAGGGGCTGCTCAAGACGCCCTGGAGGGCGGCCACCGCCATGCAGTTCTTCACCAAGGGCTACCAAGAGACCATCTCCGGTGGGTGCGCGGGCGCCGGGGAAGGGGAGGCGGCGGCGGGGAGCGCGGGGCGGGGCGCTCCAGGAAGTTTTCCTGGAGTTGCTTCACTTTTGGCCGCGGGATCGAATGCTGTCACCTTGCGAACCCCGCCCTCGGCCCTGGCCCGCGCCGGGCCCAGGCAAGGTCCGAGGTGGCGGCGCGCGCGGCGGGCGCCCGTGGGGTGGGGGGTGGGGGTGGGCAGCCGCCTTTCCACCCGGAGATCAGCCGCAGCAGCTTTTCTATCTTGGTGTGTGTGTGGGCGGGGGTGCCCCCCTTCTCGCTCTAGGCACGTGCCATCTCCTCCAGAGGATGGGGTCGCATGGGTGGAATCACCCTGTCCCGTCCCTCCAGGTGGGCATCTGAGATCCCGTTCGCCCGAGCGCTTCCGGGACCCACCTTGGCCGTCCATACTTGAGCACCTGTTGGAGTGCCAGTTTCTGGGTCGGTGGGTTTTTCGGAGATCCCCTGATTTCTTTTACAGGTCTAGGTGTATGGGAGGTGTGTGTTGGTGAAGCCCAGCCTGTCCTAAGCCACCTTGTCGGGGACCGGTACTCTTGATCTGCCACGGGGGTGGGGGGGCTGGGATCCTGGGGAGAGCTGTCATTCTTTTTTAATCCACCTGGTTAACTCTGGCTAGGAACTTCCCCCAAATTTGGCACCATTCCGGGCCTGGGCTTCCGTGGAGTTTGAGGTGTGGGGTTTCTTGGGCTAGTTTGCATCCCCAAAAACCTTCTTCCTCTTCCTTTCTCCAAGGAAATAAAGCGACTCCCCGCCACTGCACCAGGAGTGGAGTCCAGGAGGCATGTTGGGCGGGCCTGGGATTCCTGCCCTCCGCCTCCCTTCCCTCAAATCTGCAGGGTTGACCCAGTGCTGGGGTCAGCCAGCGTGTTGGACTTTCTCACTTAGGAGGTGGGCCGGCCGTGGTGGTGTGAAGGGGAAGTGGAAAAATGCCTGCTTGTCTGAGTACTGTAGGTTGTTGGTGTTATTATTATTGTCTGTCATGGGGCTTGAAGTCAGAGTCTGGGTTCTGTACCTGAGTTTTTATGCTCAAGGCTAGTGCTCTACCACTGTCTCATAGACTTTTCTTGTCTGGGCTGGCTTTGAACCACAATCCTCAGATCTCAGCCTCTGAGTAACTAGGATTACAGGAGTGAGCCACCAGCTCCTGGCAACAGCTGCTTCTGCTTCTGCTGCTGCTTCTTCTTCCTCTTCTTCTTCCTCTTCTTCTTCTTCTTCTTCTTCTTCTTCTTCCTCCTCCTCTTCTTCCTCTTCCTCTTCTTCCTCTTCCTCCTCTTCCTCTTCCTCCTCTTCCTCCTCTTCTTCTTCCTCCTCCTCTCCTCCTCCTCCTTCTTCTTGTTTCTAACTTGTGCACCTGGGTGACCTTTCTTTCTTTGGCTGAAGAAACCTATGGCTTTCTCCTAGAAAAACAGTGCTGCTTTGAAAGCTGCCTCCCCAGCCTGTCCCTGTCATTTCCCTGAAAGAATGTGGAGCAACTCAGAACACATCCTGAAAAGAATAAAGTCATTTCTGCCCAGTTTTCCCCACCCCCAAGGAAGGGTGGGAAATTAGAGTGTGGGAAGGGTGGGGCCCCCAAAGGAAATGATACTACCACATCTAAAGCCAAGATATGGACCTCTCATTTTGTTTTGGGTTCTGTTGGTTTTTACTCCTGGATGGCAAAGTTTGGGGAGGAGGAGCTCAGAAATCAATTTCAAGATGCAAAGACTGAAGAACAACCATTTGGTTTTCTGGGAGTTCAGCTTTGGGGAAAGTTGGTTACTGTGCTGTTTCAGGATGTTCTGAAGAAGGATTTTTTTTTCTCTTTAGTGCAGGTACTGGGGTTTGAATTCAGGACCTGGGCATTGTCCTTTAGGTTCTTGCTCAAAGTTAGTGCTGTACCACTTGAGCCATAGCTCCATTTCTGGCCATTTGGTAGTCAATTGGAGATAAGAGTCTCAGATTTTCCTGGTTTCAAACCTCAGGTCTCAGATCCCAGCTTCCTGAGTAGCTTGGATTACAGGTGTGAGCCACTGGCACCCAACAGAAATGATCGTACTGGGGGGCTTTGATCAATCTGTCTGCCTCCTGCAAACACAGAAGGTGGTTTTCTCTGTAGCGTTGCTCAAGAAAGTGGTAATCTTTCTATAACCTAGCATGGATCTCACTGCCCCAAGGGGAGGGGTTTCTTGCCCTGACACTGGTCACAGAATTATTTACTGATGTGCCTGTTTATTTGGGAAATGGTTAACAGAAGCTTGTCTCATGAGCCAAGATTCAGCTAAAGAGGACTAGGGACTCAAAAGGACCTCATTTTACCTTAGAAAACATTTTAAATTGTTAATTTATTAGTAAGAAGTTCACAGGTATAGAGACAGAAAGAAGATTAGTTTCTGTACACTGGGAAAGAGGGAGGAATGGAGAATGGATATGAAGTTTCCAATTGCACACTTCAGAATGGTGAAAATGAAGTCTTTTTTTCTTTTTGGTTAGTCATGGGGCTTGAACTCTGAGCCTGGGCGCTGTCCCTCAGCTGTTCAGCTCAAGGCTATCGCTCTACCACTTGAGCCACAGTGCCACTTCTGGTTTTCTGGTGGTTTATTGGAGTTAAGAGTCTCATGGAGTTTCCTGCTTGGACTGGCTTTGAACGGTGATCCTCAGATCTCAGCCTCCTGAGTATCTGGGATTACTGGCGTGAGCCACCGGCGCTCAGCAGTGAAGTCTTTTTATGGGTATTTTACCATAGCAAAAAGTTTGCAGATCCTTTCAGATTGATTGATAGCTATTAACTGAATTGTTTAATATACTAAGTGCTTTATGTGAATCATCTTTCGTAATCCTCAACTTTGAGGTAAGCACTATTTTCTTATCTCCTGAAAGGATATGGAGGGAGCAGGGTGGACAGCTTCAATGTCACAGGCAGCATATCTGCTCAGCTCTTAGGTACTTCCTTCCTTAGCATGAAACACAGTGAGATGGATCCATGTACCCTACCTACCAAGTATTTCTGTGAGCTAGATCACTAGCATTAAAAACAAAAAGTGGTTATTCTTAGCACATGCAAACATTAATCCTTTCCTACCCACCCTTCCCCATTTCCTTTCCATCTTCTTCATAACAGAATCTCGCCCATCAGAAAGTTAAGTGCTTGGAAATGTAGCCTGGGATGATTTCTATAATTTTCTTCATAGGGGCTAGTAGCTGTTAGATTGTGAATCACCGTCTGCTTACTCTGGTGAAATATGATGTCACTGAGGAAGGTCTGTTGATTTAGCAATCTCCCTGTGTTGTTTTCTTGGGCTTGCTTCTTCCAAGGAACTCCACTGATGATGGTTTAGGGAGAGGGGCCTGGTTTTTGGTCTTCTTTCCTGCCCTAAATTCACTTAATGACCTTAGGAAAGTGGCTTAACTTCTCTGGGCTTCAATTGCCCCTTTGTAAAGTTAGTTTAGATTCCAAAGGAGGAAAAGCAAATATGTAGTAGAATGGGGCTTCCCCTTCTGTGGTATGGCCATGACAGACATTACTAATTAATCTCTACTTTCCTGTGGCTGGAACAGACCTTACTAATTAAACCAACTAAGCCTAGAATCAGCTGGTCTCACATTGGTTTCAGTACTGCTGCTCAAGTGAATTAATGATGTAGTAACTCTTTGGTGATGTAAGAAATAGGAATTTTGACAAAGGGTGATCAAACGCAGTAGTGGTACTCATTAGACTCTGTGTGGAAAATGAACTATACAATTTGTGGATAGGAATGGGAAAGAAAAACTGGGAGAGAGTGAGGAAGGGGGTGACATTGTCCAAAAAGAAATGTACCCTTTACCTTACTAAAATAACTATAACCCCTCTGTATATCACTTATATATATATCAATAAAACAATTTTAAAAAATGAAAAAAAAAACAAAAAGTGGGGATAAGAATGTGGCTTAATGGTAGAGTGTTTGCTTAGCATGTATGAAGCCCATGGTTTGATTCCTCACTACCACATAAACAGAAAAAACCAGAAGTAGCACTGTGGCTCAAGTGATAGAGTACTAGCCTTGAGCAAAAGAAGCTTAAGGACAGTGCCCAGGCCCTGAGTTCAAGCCCCAGGACTGGAAAAAGAAAAAAAAAAGTGGAGCAGAATGGATTAGATCACTTTATCACATGTGAAGACATTGTGAGAATGTTATAAGAAATGTCTATGTAGGATTTGTGTGTGTGTGTGTGTGTGTATGTGTATGTGTGTGAGTGAGTGTGTGTGTTCATGTTCATGGGTATATGTACCTTCTTTTTTTTTATTGTGAAAATACCATACAGAGGGGTTACAATTACATGGTCAAGATAATGAGTACATTTCGTATCAAGCATTGTAGCCTCCTCCTTTGTTTACCCTTCCCATCCCTTCCCATCCTCCCCATCCTCCCCGTGCCCTCCCACCCAACCCTCCTCCCCCCCCCACCAAAGTTGTAAAGTTCGTTTTTGACATAATGACTTGTACGTCTTATTGTTGCAATGGGTCCCTCTGTATCCCTAGTTAAACGGTTTGTTTTTTCCCTTCCCCTCCACAATTATACCAACATCAAATACAGTGAAAGCAGGGGTTATACCGTGGGGGAGGGACATACAAAGCAACAAAGAAATAATCTTATACATGTGTTATAAGTACCTTTCTTCTTGTAGGTTACAGTCAAAACCTTGAAAGCCTCCATAGGGGGGTCATGTTTAAAAGATTCATATTGGTTTTTATTTTTTAGGTGCATAATTAAAAAGAGGACAGTGAGGGGACAGGAAAAACTATGCAGAAATGGATCTGAAGTGGTAGTAGTCCTTGTCTTGGATGGGAGAGAGAAGGAAGGCTTCTGGGAGTCAGTGACACATCTTTACATCTGTAGAAAATATGGAAGAGTGATAGGGAAAATCTGAACAATCCCAATTTTCAATTTATTTTGAGACATTAAGTCAATGACTACCATAGCTTGTTTCTAAATAGGAATAAACTT